TAGAAAAAAAGTGTTGAAGATAAGAAGGCTTCAATAAAAAAAGTAAAAAAAAAAAAATTAAGGAACCAATTAATGCAAAACACAAATTCATTCCCACAAAATGAAAGTCAAAGATACAACAACCAAAAGGAAAAGAAAAAAAAAGATAGGTGGTAGCTTAAGAATCCTTTAAGGATTCTTTTTATATAGGGTATATAGATTTAATACAAATAACATAAATATATATATATATATATGTATAAAGAGGATTTTTGCTTAACTTATGAACCACCTGTATGGATAACTAGAGAGATAAATTTGATATGGATTTGATCTCAAATAAACTTGTCAAATTTCATTCCGTTGCTTAATTGAATTTTCTCACATTGGTCGATCTAACCCATATCATGTTCTAAAGAGAGAATGTTAACTTTTTCACCAACAACAACAGACTTAGGCTGAGATTGAGTAAAAATTTAATGCTCAAGTCTTTGAGATTTTGATAGTATACTACTTTGTAAATTATCATCATCTTTAAAAAAAAAATAATGGTCTAGCCTTTTTTGCTTGCCCATGAATGATATGACTTGCAATTATATAAATCTATTAGTTAGTTCTCATAATAAATTCTCTAACATGTTTAAAATCTTCTAATAAAATTTATAATTTATAATACTTATTTATAAATTATAAAACAAAAATATTATTAAAACAACATTAAACTTTTAGGATGCATTTGGATGGAAAATTTTAAATTTTTGAAAAATTTTGGAATGCTAGTAATTTTATATGCATCAATTCAAAAATAAAAAAGTTTATAATTGTATTATTTGAATAATTATTTTTTAAAAAGTAATTTTAAATATTAGAATATGATGAGATTAAAAAATAATTATAATAGAATATTAATGATATTAGAGATAGAAAAAATAAAATACTAAAAAAAAAAACAATATGAATGTCATTAGATTTGTAAAAAATGTGTAAATATTACTAACAATGTAAAAAATTAAAACAAATAAATTTTAGAATGAGTTTTTGTAATTAAAATTGAAGAAAACAAAAGTTGTATAAAAAAAAAAATAGTAAATGTTGATTTTTTTACTATAAAACTAAAGAATTTCACAAATTCCACTAGTTTAGGTGAAATTTGAAAAAAGAATTTTAACCCTCTAGAATTTTTCATTTATATTTCAAGAATTTTAACAATTTTTATTTTTATTTTGCCAAATAAGATAATTTCATTTTAGAATTTTAAAAGTCTCTCAAATGAAATCTCTATTTGAAATGACTTATCCAAATACACTCTTAAAGAATAACATAACTTTCAAATTTATTTACACAATCTTTCAATGAACTAGATACAAATGAACTTTCTAAATTAATACAATTTAAAATTAAAATATATATATAAATTAATAAATTATTAAATATTATATTTTTAATCAAATTTGTATAACCCAATTAACTTTTATTTTTAAAAGCTAATCTTTCTTAGCTTTAAATTTCATGAGACCAAAAAAATTCTAATTTCACCATAAAATACTTCAATTAAATTATTATGATTTTAGTTCCCACTCACCCAATCCATCAAATAAAAAAAATTTTCATTTGCCCAATCCAAATTTATTTTTATTCTATTAAAAAGCAAATCTTATCAAATTATTACTTTTTTAAGAAATCTATCAAATCGTACCTAACCTCTAGTTATATTAAAACTTATCAAATCATTATTAAAAGAAAAATCTATCAAGTCATTAATACCTTAAAAGAAGTAATAAAGTATCAAAAAAATATATCAAATGAAGATAAATACAAATAGATTATTTATAAAAATAAAAACAAAGTAACAAACTACTCTTTAACAATTTCGTTCTAAATGGTAAACACAAGTGCAAAAAAGATTGAAAAAATTTAAAATAAAAAAGTTACAATAAGGAATAAAAGGAAAAAATTCAAATTTACTTATTTTTTACTTGACTTTAAAGTGTAAATTAGAATTTAAAAGTTAAATTAAATTTTTTATCTCACATAATTATGATTTAATATTTGTGATAAATCAATTTACTTTAAGTGTATGTGAATAGTTATAGTTAAAGGTTTATATTTTATTTATTATTCAGTATAAAATTTATATATTGATAATAAATTTAATAATGATATTTTACTAACGATTTAAAATATATAATATTATCTCATTAATGAAAATAAGATGAATTAGATGATATTATGTTATTAATAAATAGATTTTTTAAAATTTTTAATTTTTTATATATTTATTTTAAAAATTAATATTTACTTGTTAATGATGCAATATTATTTAATTTATTATAGTGTTTAAAATTTATACATAATATATCAAATATAAACTCTAAAATTAATGTTATATATTTTACAAACAACATTTCTAACGTATTGGCTTATGAATTAATACAAGACAATTTAAAAATTTAAGAGGCAAATATAAATATGTAATGAATAGATTATAGTCTGAGCATGACATGTGTAAATTCAATTGCTGACACGTATCATGTGTTAATTAAATAGATTATTAAATTTTTTTTTACTTCCTTAAAAGATTGGGATAAAATCATTTTTACAACTAGATTTTTTTTTAAATAATTATTATGAGTAAAATAACTATACAGGAGCTTCTAGGGAAGCTTTATGATTTTATTGGTAGTAGTACAACCGATTGGATTTGAGATTTCTTGTGAAAGCATGAGAAAAACTGAAGGGAAGAGGATGGAGGAGGGAAAAACAAAGAATAACACAGCTAAACCCTCTCTTAGATGCCAACAAAACCCGTACTTTCAACCCTCTCTACTGGCGATTATCGTCAATTCTTCATCACCATCGGTCGCTTCATCATCTCGAATCTCTGTTTTCGTTTTATTGTATTTCACTGCCAATCACCACCTTAGCACAAGTTGCGAAGGTCTCCTTCTCCCTCTACTGCTTGTTTATTCTTCAAAATTTTGTTTGCAAATAAAATTTCTTTTACTATTTTTATTCAACTGTTGTTCTTGCTGAAATTTTGAGATTTTCTCAGGTTCTGCATTTTCTTTTGTTTTGAATTTTGCAAGAGGCGAACGATTCAGTGGAGGCGGTGTGGTTCGATTCCATGACAAACGAAGAGGCTCGAAAACACAGTGTTTCAATTCCATTTCGTATTTTGCAGTTTTTTGTTCAAATGTTTCTGTTTGTTAAATTTTTTTGTTCGCAGTTAAAAGGTACAAAGATAGTTGAAATTAATTTTAAGACGTTAGCCTGTTTGTTTAAATTTCTCTTTATTCAAATTTGTTATGTTCTTTAGCGTGTGCATATGTTATGTTGAGGCTTAATTTTAGATGTCTTAATTTTATGAAAATGAATACTTGGATGGATTGAAGAAAAGTCTTCTATAGGGTGAATGATTCAAAATAATCTTATGGGTGTCTTTGAACCACCAAATTTAATTCGATGAATTTTATCTTTGCAAAGTAGTCAAAGAAGTTGCACTTGTCGTCATCTCAGTACTATTAATCTTTAGAATAAATCTATTTTAGCTGCTTGTCGACTATTAAGTGCAATAAGGTGTTACAACAAAAGTATGTAATTCTATCACTTTAATCCTCATTACAAAGTGAAATGATTTGTATTTTGTTTTCTCTTTGATGATAGATCACTCTTAATTGTTTATGATTATAGATCTTTCATGTCAATTCTCTTCTATCATTTCCTTTCTAGAATGTCGGAAAAGTTTAACCAGTAACCACTTTCAAAGTTTCTTGCTTAGCTTAAAGGAAGATATTAATCAGTTCTAGTTCTTTATCAATCTGTATTTATGTATTTTGAGTTTATCACTTGAAGATATTATTTTATATTATCATGTTCATTGGTTAAAAAACTTGCTTCTCCTTTCTTAAATCTGAAAGACTGAATATTAGTTATTTTTCTTTTTGCAACTTTTCAATCTTATTAGTGGGATTGAATTGTTTATAAGTACCACTACTACTATTAAATTTGGCATAACTAGTATATTGAATCATTCTTTTATAAGATAATATGATAAAAAGAAATCGGGGTTAGTTGACACTTGCAAAGTATCCTTCTGAAGATATGTATTCATATTAATAGCAAATTGTGGCATACACGAGTTACAAAGAAATGACATTAATCGTGCTAGTTCACACCAACCCAATAGAATTACGTTTGTGATATGAATTACCCACACAATTCTCTTTGTTAAGTGCTCTTTGACTTTGTTTTATGTGGCTCTTGCTTTGTATTCTTTATGTGAATTATAACGGATTAATTGCTTTCACTGTCATGCAGATGCTCTTCTAATCATTGGATTGTCTGATGGATCTACAGCATATTTCAACCTTTCTTCATGAAAGTAAATTTTCTATTTGTCTCCTAACTTAAAAGACAGACTAGTCAAGGCCCCTTTGTGGGACCACCAGATGCTATAAGTGAAGTGCTTCGTCTTTTCAAAACAAAACCTTTTTAGGTCTATCATTTGACAAACATCATTTTCTGATTCGTTCATTTGTTAGTATATTTGTAGTAATTTGCTTATTTCATAAGGAACAAGCTAAAGTAGAATTTAAAGTTTTAATAGTTTTTTTTTTTTTTTTTGTCAGATTTAGGATATTGGTGGATGAAAGTTGTATAATTCAAAAATGGGATAATGATAGAAATAGGATGGACTAAATTTTTCATAAATTTAGGGGATTTAAGAATTGAATTTTACCTACTAGAAAATTATTGTTTAGCTCCATTCTCTCGGGCTCATGACCAAATTTATAACTATTTGGTCATTCATAATCAATCAGTTTTAGTTTTTTTTAACATGTGTCAATTTCTTTCGAGTTGGTTGATGAGTTTCGTAGCATGTGACTTGAACTGTACATTATTCTACCTTAATTCTTTTTTTTTTTTAAATAATTTATTATTTACTACATGTTTTACTTGTTATTTAAACAATTATTTATCATTTATATGCCTACAGCGAAGCAAGAGTATTTCCCTAATATATATACATATATATATATGTCATTGGCAAAATTCATGTACCAAATATTTAATTAACTCCAAAAAGTAAGCATCCGCTTTATCTGGTGTCGATATTATCAGCAAAGCAGACCTCGCACCCCAAAGAATACCAAGTATAATGTTACAATTTTCATTTGTAGTCTATTAGCACCCCCTTCCAAAAAAAAAAAAAAAAAATGATCACCTTCCCACCAACAAATTAAACTCCCCTCGGATCATTTATCTAGAATTTGTCAAACTATTTTCTTATCTGTGTGAAAAGCTCAGGAGGTTTGCCACTTTGTCCCCCGCTACCTCCGAAGGCTGAGAAACCACCATTTCTTTGTTGGCTGCTGAAAGCGCCAAACCCACCCCCTGTACAGATATTTACATTACATGACTCACAAGCTTAAACAAAATTGAGACCCAAACAAAAATAAACACCAAATTTTACCTGAGCCAGCTCCTGCAAAACCACCACCACCTGAGGCAGCAGCAGCAAATCCACCACTAACTGAGGCAGCACCTGTGAATCCTCCACTAACTGAGGCAGCAAAACCCCAGCCACCTGAAGCCAGACCACCAAATCCACCACTAGAAGCCACACCAGAAAATCCCCCACCACCTGAAGCCAAACCAGCAAAGCCACCACTAGTAGAGGCAATACCAGCAAACCCACCTCCTACTGCAGCATTAGACAACCCAGCAGCAGATTGAGGACCTGCAAAACCACCACCAAAACTGCTCCCAGAAGCAAAACCACTTCCCGGTAATCCAGTACCAAGCTGTCTTGACTGCCCAAAAGCACCAAGAACTGATCCTAGAGCCTGCTGTCCAGCTCCAAGCTGTGCTGGTTGGCCAACAGCACTTTGAGCAGGAGCTTGACCAGGTGTGCTAGAAGCAAAGCCACCAGCGAATGCACCAAAACTTGCAGGTTGAGCCAATTGGGAAGGCTGTGGAGATTGGAAGCTAAAAGATGCAGGCCTAAACAACTCTCCACTAGGAACAGTTGTGGTGAACGAAGAGGTAGCTGGACTTTTGGCCACAATTCGAAATGGTTCACCAAATGGGTTAGGAGTTGATCCAATCCCAAAGCTACTTAAACTTCCCAAGCAAAGTTCGGTAATTTGGTTTGTCTCAGGAGCCTCCTCCTCCATCTCATCCTCTTGTGTAACTATTACATCCAAACTTCCACTTGTTCCATTAGCAGTACCAATACTAGTTAACATTGGTGCTGAAAAACGAGTATCTCCAGTAGAAGGCTGCACTGACTGAGCATTTGATGCCAAATTAGATTCAGGGCTTGCAACATCAACAATGCTGGTCTGGCTTCCAGATGACACTCTGGTAGGAGTTTCACTTATCCTTGCAGATGATACTGCAGATTTAGGCTTCAAACTCAATTCTTCTGCTGAAAGTTCATGTTGCAGAGGTGGTGCCTGTGTCATTGAATCCAAATCCTTTTTCAAGCCAAGTATTTCCATATGCGGTTGAGCCTCAGTTTTCAAAATCTCAGGGATTGAACTCACAGGAGGTGAATCAGCAGGTAAGGGCACAGGAATTTGGAGAGGCTGAATGGACAAATTGGAAGAGGAAACAACCGCAGAGAGTGAAACTGACAGAGATGATGAAGATGAAGCTTTTCTATTAGCATCTGCTGTAACCATAGAACTTGTCATACATTCGCGAAATTGTGTTGCAGATGATGAAGTTGACACTGTTGAAAATGAGGTTGAAAAGGAAAATTTTGGGGCTGGTGATGAAACGGTTGTTGTAGATGATGACACAGAAACTGATGTTGTAATTGATGTGAGTGATGAGGTTGGCACTGTTGAAAATGATGATGATAATGAAGGAGCTGATGAACTTGATACTGAAGATGATGAATCCGGAACTCGTTTTGAGAATGCAGAAGACGGAGATAACCTTTCACTGGGCTGGATTTTGCTTTTTACAACATTGAATTGTGAAACTTTAACTGAGAAGGCAGGAGATGCAGAAACAGCAGCTGGAGGCATGAACTGAGAGTCGTGATTGTTAGAAGAACCAAATAGTGTATTCTTTGTGGTTGATGGCACATGTTTCACATCCCCTAATGCTGAATTTGCAAACACAGTCCCTTTTCCATCTGAATTTGAGATGTCAGTTGATTTCTTTGGCAATGAAACCACCTGTGAGATTGAAGACTCTTGACATAGATTAGGTCTAAACTGCAGAGTGGATCGAATCTCATTCTCATTGAAAGATGAAATATTAGACCTCTCAAGCTGAGGAGCTCCGCCCTTTGGTTTAGCAAAAGTGATACTGCATGTTTCCCCAGAATGATTCTGCACCACCATAGGTTGTGATCCTGATGTTGATGACAAAGCAGTTAAGTTACTTGTTTGCACTGTAGAAGACTTCCTACCAGCATATTGTGGTGGTACTAGAGAATTATTAGCCCTTCGGGAAAGGGTTGATTCAGATTCCTGTTTCAGAAAAGCATCCTGAATGCCTGTTTTAACTAAACAAGCATGGAAGTAACAATTAGTGGCTGACTCCCATAAGCATACAGCTAGTAAATAAACTTAAATAGAAATAATGGAAGAAATGACCTTATAGAAAAAAATAAAGTATGTAATTATTTATGTCTCACCTTCATTTCCAGATTGATAAATCGTGGTTGAGGTTGCTGTGAATTCCTTTGACAATGAACATGTTGATTCCTCAGGGGCATACGAGTGAAAGTTCTTATCTATCATGGATGATCTTTTTATATTCGATTCTAGCAAAAGCATCCTTTTTACAGTAGTTTTTGGAGGCTCAAAACTAGCCCAGCTCTGCCACAAGGTCACAAACTAATTTACACATCAGAATTTGCAGAAGTTCTTAGAGTACAATGGAAGAAAAGTTTAAATACCATCAGTAAATATCTGATGCAGGTATTAATGTTTGCACAAAGAAAGAGTTCCATCAAGTTAAACCCTAACCCTAAATCCGAAGTGCAATCAAGTAAATTAGAAATTTTAAAACAGTATAAATTAAATTATGTGGATGGTTACTAGAAAATACGAAGATATCTAGACCATTATGTCTAACTGTTTGAAATGATAATAGGCCAATTGCCCCTCGACTGAAAGCAGAAAACATTCACAAATGAACTTTTGACCAAAGCTTCCTGATGAATTAGATTTCTGATGCACCGAATTATTTGCATTAAAATTCATATTACAGCTCGCACCAACAAAGAAAAATTAGTGCTTTTCCTCCAACACAGTTGACCAAACTGCAATAATTATCACTGATGAGACGTACTACCATAAAACAATATCATTAACAAATTTTTCTGTGGCTTGCACATTAAGAACTGCATAAAAGCACAATAGAGAAGGTTCTTGCGAACTTTCCCTATCATGCACCATACTCTATCATAACAATATGTAATATGTATTTTATCTTTTACTTGAGGATAAGCTATTGGAAAGAAACAGATGAAAACTCTTCCATGTGGCTGAGTAGTTTGATTTTGACTTGTTATGGTGTCAAATATATTGATAAAGAACATTACATAAAAGAGGATTAAATGAATAGGATAATGGAACAATATAATGAAAGATGATTCCATTTATAACTAATCCTATGAAAAAGAAAAGAAGAAAATAATAAGTTAAATAACTGTAATAAGTTCATAGCAGGATTACTTTAAAATTAACAGTATTTTCCATCTAATAATTGAAGCTACTTTCACAAACAATCAAATGCACTCTTCAACTAGACGTACATAGCTAAAAGCAGATTCAGGATAGAAAATCTACTACAAAAGTTGAAAATATGGAATAACCCAAGAAAACATTACCTGACCCAGTGAATCCCTCCTCCTCCTTGCCATTTCTAGGTCAAAACTCTTCAGAGCACTGGATTGGTTTCTCCTGGACTGATTTCTAGAAGCAGTGGACCCAGAGGAAAGAACAAGTTTCTTCACTGAAGATGTATCACTAGGTTTTGTAACATGTGGAGAGGTGAAAGAGGCATCATGAGCTATTCCAATCGTTTGGAACAGCTCCTTCTTCACATTTTGTTGTTTCACAGGTGACTCTACACTCAACATAGCCATTTGTTGTGAAAGGCATTCAGAAAGTTGCTCAGCAGCTGCTAGTTGTGAATTCATTGTGCTATGTAAAGTATGAAGGGACTGCATGTGTCTGCAATGAAACAAGTGCTGAGTTCAGCAATTTTTCTGTTAAATCTGTAAAAAATATATTACCAATGTACAAATTCACCAACATGAATCTGCAAGCCCTCCAGCTAGGTTGGAAACAACTTATAGTTGCAGTGGCTTGAAGACTTTGACAAGCAATGGATATCTGTCTAGAGATGCTAGATATAATAGCTAACTACAGTAAACATACCTTGAAGGCCCAAATCTACTATGTAAAGCTCTCCGAACTGCATGAACTCCATCATTATCAACAAATTTATGAAGTTCAAAGGTGTTGAAATACCTCTCTAATTCAATTAACTGATTGGTCAAATCCTGGAGAAGGAAACAGAAAGAGAACTTAATTAAACCTCCAATCAGACATGTTACTTCACAACAACTATCAGCTATAACTCACCTGATCCAATTTCAATATATTTCGCTGCTTAAGCTCAAGCTCAGAACTCAACTTCTGGCAATTCCACAGGTCCCAATACTGGCTATCCGAGGCTTGTTTAACAATGCCTTCTATGTATATTTTCCTCGCTAAAACTGGTAACCAACACAAGGATAATTGGTACATTATAACAAGTCCAGCTCACAAGGTTGTCAAAAAATAAAAAAATAAAAAACAGAAACATATTTAAACAAACTACTAATTTTAAGAATTCAACAAAACTACCACAGCACACAAAGAATTGTTATAGCAAAAGAGTTCTTGTCAATTATCAACACAATACAAACACTAGTAAACTCAACCCAATACCCTATGCTGGCTGTTAGAATATCTCTAATTAAACATTATCTAATGCCGGATTACTTTTATTACTTTAGGCCTTATTTCGGGGTTGGGAGATAAAGAGAGGAAACTTTTGGCACCTGCTTATAATATCTTCTCTCACATGCACCACAAATTAAACAGAACATAGCATTTAACACCGTTACTGTCAAATTGGTCTGTAGAATGAAGCAGATTTGTCAATTCCAAGAATTGAACAGGCAGCATTAAAAGGTAGAAGTGGCAATTGGGTCGAGCTGTCTTCCAGTTAGTATTGTCTCAGATGCAGACCATTTCGGATTCAAATCACTTTCGATTCAAACTGTTTTGGGTTCAAACTGTTTCCAGTGTGGAACACTTCGAATTTGAGTTGTCTAGAGTTCTATCCATCTCAGGTTTGGTCTGCCCCAGGTTCAGGCAAATTCGAGCAACTTTCAAATCATTTTGGAATTCATATAAGCTATAGACATTTTTGCAAATTCAAATAAAATAAATAAATATTCTTTTTTTTTAATTTTTGTATCAAGTCAATATCACTAATCATTAATTAATATAATAACAAGATAGAATGTGAATTAAATTTTGAAATTGAAAAACAATGATAAATATTTGTTTAGATATAAATGATACTATAGCTTTATCCATACATTCACTATCAGTATTATTTACAAATATAAATGATACTACAGCTTTATTTATAGACTCTATCAATACTTTTGTGTGTTTTTTATTTTTATGTTTTCAGTCATTATAATTTTAATAGTAGAAATTTGAGTTTGTAAAGGTTTTAGGTTGGATAAGTCTAGGCTTTGAGTCCTTTCATGCTTGATTACTTCCACATTTCAAGTTCGGTTCACTTCAAGGTCATATTATTTCCAATTTGGGTACCTAGGATTCAGATCTTTTACTTTTTTGTCAATTTGAATCGAACTGAGTTCAGTTTCCAACCGGTTTGGGCAGGTATTGGGTTCAGTCAAATTTTGCTACCTGTAATTAAAGGTCACTCTGACCTTCTAGGCATATGATGCTGTAAACTTCTTTGATGATCATTTTTATTAACATTTTATATAGTGAAACATTTATTGATACATCCTCTTAACGATGCTCAACGTTGATTAATGTTCCTCCAAATTAAAAATTCACTTTATGGGCAGCGTTGAAGTAAGTGTATATGAGATATGCAATTAAAATGCATCAAAATTCAAAAACAAGTTTTCAATTGTTTAAATTGCCAAACAATTTCAATGAGACATTTAAAACTTGACAATACCTTGTACCGTTTTATCAAGAAGATGTTGGATCTTCCCATGCTGCTCATCCATCATGTCCTATGAGGCCCATAAACAATCACGATGGAAAAACATAAGAACAAAAGCATCTACGTCAAGTCAGATGGATAGCACTTGAAAGAATCTAAAGAAAAATGAATAATACCACTTCAAAGTCTACTAAAATTATACAATGCCAAGACAAGGAACATTGACCACTCAAAAATACAGTAAAGGATAACTTTAAATTACATTCATTGAAAAGCTAATTACCATCCAGCCTTTCTCAACTTGGCAAAAAGATAGACTAAGTCCAAGATTTAAAATGATGCAAGATATTTCTCGTAATGATTTGAACTCAGTTTTAGAGTATATTGAATCAAATATTCCACCATTCAGGAACTCTATAGGTGTCAATTTTGAACAAGTCTATAAATCTACCCAGACAGTTCATTATTATTTTTATCTTGGTGGGTTTATTGACCAACATTTGAAGGAAACACATGGAGGCCACTTGACAGCCATAATTTTTTGGAACCCTCCCAGGATTTTTAACAAATACTGGGCATCTTTGAGGACTTTCCAGCTGCATTTTCATTTTTCCCCCTTGTTTTATCATTTTCGAGACTTAAGTTAGAGAAACTCCCTGGATCAGAGGCCCTTCGGCATGAGATTAGAGAGCGAAGGGGCCAAACCTGGCCCTTCTTGCACCAAACCAGCACTTGAAGTTGAAGGGCAAGATCTGGCCCTTCATGTCTCACCAGCTCAGCACTCAAGAGAGGCCAACTATTACCCCTTCAGCAGATGGACCAGTGCTGTGGGCCACATCAGCCATGCATGACAAATAGGCAATGCCCAGACCTCCCACAGCCACCACAAACCAGAAAGATAGAAGGGAGAAAAGAAAAAATGAAGTGGAAAAATTTTATATCAGAAAAAAAATAGAAATAAAATTGAAGCTTGAATATGATAAGTTGTATAATAAATGTGCTATAAAAATGTTAGGGGATGAAAACAACATTATTAAAAAAAAAAACGAGAAAAAGAGGAAAAAGTGAGGAAAAAGTTTAAAGGAGATAAAGAAACGTGTATAAATAGGTAAAGGACAGGGATTTTGGAGAGAAAAAAAGAAAGAGAGACAAAGGAAAAAGAAATTTGAAATATTATTTTCTCTCATTTTTCTATTTTTTTTCTTTCTTTCTTCCCTTTTTTTTTTCTCTCTTCTAAATATTATCTTAAAATTTATATAGAATAGATGCCGGGATTCAAATAGTACCAACATAACAGTGTCGCGGCCACTATTTCACAGTTTCGGTCCCCTCCGCCTCCACTAGATGCCCGAAATTGGGGTGAGAATGGGACTCACGCACATAACAGCATCTTGCGGCCACAAATATCGATGTAGCGGACAATAGTGGCTACAGCAAGACACTACAACCACATCACACTGTTCTCTAATCCAAAGTGTAAATCAAAAACCCATTCTTTTTTCATCAATCACAAAATTTCACATGAAAAAAAAATCCAAAACAACAACTCAATGAAGAATCAGAAAATATAAACTTCAATCAATACCAAAGAACATGTTGAAGATCTGCAAATTTAATGACTTGATTTCTGCAAATTTCTACAAATTAGCTTTTGGGTTCATCTATTGCCACTCTATCTCAGATCTTGAGAATTGAGAGGAAGCAAAACATTCTCATAACTGTCAAGATGGGAGGATAAGGATCTTAGGCTCATTAATGGTGTCGGTAACCGCTTGGGTTGAGGAAGAAGGTAAAGACAGTGTGAGTAGAACATAGAAGAGATGAGGAGACATAGGAGGTGTGGGTGATGAGTGAGGGAGGTCTGCCACAATGGAATTTTAAAGAAAGAAAGAGTGAGTTACAGTGAAGGAAAAACAGAGTGTAAATGATAGCACCTAAATTTATAGGGATTTTACTAGTTAAAATGGGTGCAAATTTTCAAATTGTGGTCAAATTTGGTGCTGTTAATGCTGTTTTCTTGATTTTTAAGGTTTAAGACCAAGGAACGTGATTCATATGTAATCCATGCATGCAAGCATGCAAGATAGTAGTCAACCAGGCAATAAGGATGACTAATCAAATCCTATTGGCCTTCCATTCGGCCAAGAGATGAATTTTACATGCACAAGGACTCTGCATCCATTCGGTTGGATCATTTCCAAGAAGATGTGATGTACATTTGAAGAATATCACTAGCATTAGGACACATATATTCGGCTAAATCAACTTCCACAAGGATTGCAAGCACACTTGAAGAAGTTCAAGCACACAAGGAAACTAGAAGCATTTGGCCAAAGGTGTTTGAATTTAACCATGACTCTTTGATAACCCATTTAAAGAGTTGTGATGGAAGAACTCTAGCAAGATAAATCACAAAGATAATTTAAGGAAAATCAAATATCTTGTCTTAGATCCCAAGCCTTAGCCAAACCTATCATGAAGCAAGATCAAGATGTGCACTCCATGATGAACAACCAAGATGAATCCCAAAGACCCGTATTCGGCCAAGACACTTAAAGGCCAAGAGTCCCATTTGGCCATGCTTCCTTGAAGATGAAGATGAGCTTTATCCTTTAGAATTTGAATAGGAATTGATCTTGTAATCCCTATACCCCTCTAGCTGACCCTCCATCTATAAATAGGGAGGGTAGTTCACATCTCAAGCATCCCATCTCATTCCTCACATTCTTCTTTTCTTTCTTCTTTAGTTCTCTTTTAGTCTTTAGTCTTTTAGCTTTCTTTGTAATTGGCTTAGATGATAGATTTGCCAATACAAATGTTTTCTAAATTCTTTCCTTAAATCAAAGTATTCTTTCATGCAAATTCTAGTTTTCTTTAAAGCTTTCATACACTGTTTTCAATTGTGCAATATTGTTTACAAGTCCTTATAGTTTCAGGAATCATTCTTTCCATCCTATTCTTTTCAATTTTTAATCAAGCAATCCTACTTTCTTCATTTAAGTTTTGGTTCATGCAATCTTGTTTTATGTTTCTACAACTTTTGGCCTTTCCTAATCTTATTGTTTCCAAATTTCCATTCTTATTTTCTTTAGATCTTGTTCATTCAGCCACAATCCCATTACTTACCAAGTGACAATTGGTTAAGTAAGATCTAGGCCTATATAATTGTTTTCAATCTTTCATTCTTTGTTTTGCAAATCAACCTAAGTTTTCTTAGTTTAGATATAAAAGTTTAATCTATCACCTTTGGTACTTGAATCCACCCAACAATCAATTCTATAATGCTTGTGGGACGATACTCTGATACTTACCACTTTATTACTTGATTCGATCTGTGCACTTATAGACATTGCGAAAATAGGGAATCAATAAATTTTGAGAAAAAAATGAGAGAGATATGGTCAGTTTTGGTTCAACCAAACCAATAACAGATTTTTTTATTTTTTTTTTTACCTTAAAATTTATGTGAGAATTTTGAAAGCTTTGGGTACTACTCACGTGTGGCATCTAAAACTTAAAACTTATATTTTACTTTTTTTTTTTCTTATTTAGGTGAAAATTTGAGATGGAAAAGCAAATGATTGATAAAAATTAAATATTTTAAAATTTTTTTTATAATTTAGATGAAATGAGGGAATGTGAGTTATAATTAGTGAATTTATTTTTTTGTATTTTTATGCATGTAGCCATGTATAATCATTTAAAAATAATTAGTCATTTTTTATATAATTTCGATAATTGTGAAGTTATTATTAATTGTATTTTTTATGAATCGATAAATATTAAATTGCCAATTATTATATTATTTTGGTTTAATTAGTTATTTTAATTATTTCACTTAGAATATTTGATCTAATGGTAAAGTATATTTATCCATGCTCAAAAAGTTACGTTTTAATCATCTTCCCTCAATAATCATATATTAAAAAAAAATGTTCATCACAATTTCTAATTAAATTAAATTATGATATTAACTTCAGATAAGATATTTTTTTTCCATGGTATGTATTTATAATATTTATGTCAATGAACTTCATGGGTATATTAATGAAAAGCATTTTAATACTTATATTAATTCTTAATTATAACTACAAAATCTGAATAAAATATTTTGACTTATAAATAAAAGAATTAAAATGTCATAAATAACTTTAAAAATTATAAAATAGGTGTTTTTATAATTATAATTATAACTATTATATTTTATAACAAGTACAAAGTTAAAAAAAAAAAATTTATGACCACGATAATCGCAATGATATCTGTTATATCATCAATCACGATAAATGCGATACAACTGAAAATGCGTCCATGACCACAATTTAAATCCCTAATTAGATGTGAATTTTCTAACTTTTTTCTCTATTTCTTTTTCCATGAAATTTTCCTACACCAAGCATCGCGAAGGCTGGATACTAGTTACAAGTACAAGACTTTCTACATTGGGTGGGCAGTGTTCAAGTATTTTTCATGTCAGAATTTGCAGATTCTGCTTTTTGCATCAATGTTTTCCAGTATTAATTTCTTGACACCATAGCACTAAAAATTATCTTAAAATTTATACAGGATATAATTATATGTGAATTGTCTAACTTTTTCCTATAAATTTTTTTTCCATGAAATTTTCCTACACCCCAAATTGGGAAGGCTAGATTCTAGTTACCCATACAAGACTTTCTAATAATTGGATGAGCAGCATTCAAAGTATTTTTCATGTCTGAATTTGTAGATTCTGCATTCGCATCAATGTTTTCCTTGTCTTAATTTCTTGATACCACACCACATAATAATTAAGGGTTAATTATGCATTTGGTACTTGAATTATAGTTAGATGTTTAATTTGGTACTTAAAATTTAAAAATTCACAATTCGAACTTTGTTTCCATTAATCAAATTGCACATCAAACCAACTTCATTAGGCCAAAGTATGACATGACCCATACAGCCAATAAAAGCACACCACCAGTACATAATGCCACATCATCATTGTGGTCCATTGTCACATCATCGGTTAAAGGTATGAAAATTGCCACTGATGATGTTTTGGGTCCACTACAGACAAAGCAAAATGACATGGTATTATTAAAACACATGGCATTACCAGTAATCATGTGATTTGTTGATAGTGTTGGATTCTTAGCTGAAATGATCATGATTTAGTCACTGGTAGCCTCAAATATTAATAAAAAAAATTAAAAAAAAAAGATAAAGACATGGCATATTTTTATTGGTTATTTACTATGAAGCACGGACATGGCAATTTCTAAAAAATGAGGACAGAATATGGTAGCACACAGCAATAAGAAATATTTTTTATATATTATAATCATCAATTAAAAATATATGATAGATATGGGGTTGATTTTTAAAAGATATTTGCCCTTGTAAAAAAAAATTGATGATAGACACAAGAATAAAATAACATATGGTGTCATTATCCACGTGAGAATTGTCTCTCTTCTTTTTTTTTTCCTTCTTTGTCATACCCAACCAAGTTCAACACATATTTCAGCAAGTAGGACACAAATACGACACGAGTACGTAAGAGGTTCAGAAGTGTCTGTGCTTCATAGGCTATCTATTATTCACACATAATACTATCAGCTAACAGAGTTGTTGAGATGTGCAATATGGTCAATGGAAGCAAAGTTCAAGTACCTACTTACACAGTTTGAAACTCTAGGTAACAAATCGAACATTTGACTATCAAGTACCAAATATGTAATTAACCATATAATTAACAATTGCTTCATTGTTCCTATGCTTACCTCCCTCAAATGTGTATGTGGAGGGAGTTTTATGTATACTTTTTTTGACACAAGAATTAAAGTATATTTCAAGATAATTTCAAGCAGGCTTCTGTAAGTTTTGATGTCAAAACAATTTTGGCTTCATATTAGACTTCTATTCTGCCACCTGTTACCTAGTTGAGGCATGGAGGGAGAAAAGGGAAGAAAAAAGGATAAGAATTCCTTCACAGTATTTGTAGGATATGAGAGGGAGGTAGAGAAAGGAATGTTCAGCGATTTTAATTTCTCAAGTGCTAGTTCTGTCCAAACATAGAGAAAAATAAGAGGTAAAAGAAAAGGAAATTTGCAACATAGGAAACAAACCAGCTCATAAAAAGCTCTGAAAGAAACAAAGTTGGTGGGAACATGTGAGGCTAACTTGAAAACTGCTTCAATATATTAGTATTACACAGTTCAGTTTCATAGCCTCACAGACAAGCTAGCCAGGAAAGAAAGAAGCCAAAATGATAGCTCTAACTTGAATTTCTACTCCTTTTTCTTCTTCTGTTTATTACATTGGACAATGTTCCAAAATCAGAGACTAAAATCTCAACAGTCATTTTCTCTTTCTTTTTCCTATTCCATGTTGATTTCTAACCCTATGTATCAACAAGGCAACAGATCTTTTTGATATTCATAGCATCAAGTTTCTTTTATGTACCCTTTTGACCAAAGAACTCTTTCAGAAAAATTTAGTAACTAAAATCAACAGATCAAAGCATATCAACCAATCAAAAGCTACAGCCAAGAAGCACATAAAGCACAACTGAATGAATTGACACCATCAGTACAAAAATTACCTTCCAACTCCTGCATTTGTCAGAAAGAAAGGCTATGCCCTGCTCCAGCACCTCAACTGAACCTTTTTGGAAAACGGTGCAAGCATCCCCAAAGCCACCAGTTTCTTCTATAGATTCCAGAAGTGTGTCCAATTCTTTGGCCATCTCTTTAATCTGTGAGGAAAAAAAGCGAGTTAAAAGAAAAAAAAATAGTAGGGGCTATAGAGATGGCAACTATCTATTTTTGAGAAAATAAAAAAGCACCAGATTTCTCTTGCCCGTATAGATCGCATTAACAGAAAACCTAACCAACATTTATTGCCAAAGTTCATTTGCAAGAGATAGAAAACAATAAAGGAACAGTGACATAAAAAGAAAATCAGGCTGCTTTTGAAATGCACTTTCATAAAAAAAAAAAAAGAGAGTTTTAAAAAAGAAAATGAATAAACTTAAGCTTATGATATTTTAAGACAAAAAGTGATGACTAATGAGTTAAGCATAATGCAAATCATAGAATCAACACTAACATGCATACAAAAGCTAGAACATTTTTTATGAAAACCACAAGAACATGTACAGTACATTGCTGAATTGTTTCGATAAGTGTGGTTCAGATTTCAGCATCCCTGACTGGGTTGCAGACTTGTAGTCATCCTTGGGGGGATAAAGCTTTTGGTTGACAGACTTTTCCAGTGCAAAATTTAGCTGTGATGATAATTGTGAGCCACGAATTAAAGGTGCTGAGTCAATATTTCCTGCCCCTATTGAAGATTTCTGAGCCCCGCTATCGGCTGGTATGCTTGAAATTTTATTGATTGAAATTGATACCCCAGCAGTATCTTTCAGATGTGTAGGTTTTCCAACATTGCCCCTAGGAATGTTTGTAGCACCTCCAGTACTCTGAGATCTATTACACTGAATATCACTTGAAGATGAAAACGGAGATCTCGCATCCGACTCCTCTGAAACCATGAATTTTCCACTTGAAAATGGCTTAGATGATGGATTTGGCCAGGACGGATATGATGCACTCTGTGAACCAATAGATCCAGCTTCTCCTACTGATTCCTTAACCAGATCAAAATTTTTTGGTGTGCTCTCATGGTTTGGTTGTGATAAGGTATCATTTGAAACTTTCCCCACAAAAGATCCAAATCCTGCATTCTTTTGACTTTCTGTTTGACTACCATCCCTCACCTTGTTGCCAGGCCCCTCTAGTTGAGAAGTCTTCAAAGACGACTGCCCTGAATTTGTTGTACCTACCTGTCCAGAAAGCAATTTTTGTTGACTGCCTGCTTCTAGGTACAGCTTTGTGGTTGGAGGTTTTTGTTGGCCACAAGCTTCAAAAGACAGGGAGTTTTTTAAAGAAACTGATCTTTGGATATCATCTTTATGGAGTAGTTGATCAGCAGCATGTGTAACTGAATTCACATTCCTTTGAGAAAGGTTTACGTCACTTTTAATAGGAATGTCATTACTTCCACTGGTAAGAAGCTCCGTTTTACTTTTATCCGGTAATGGAAGAGCCAAAGCTACCTGTTCTGACTTTTGTTCACCCTGTCCATAAGTAAGTTTGGGGGGATCAAACTCTTCTTGTACCACAGCAGGGGTATCCTCTTCTTTATCGGAAAGGGCGGAAGCATCAAGTGGAACAGCATTTTCTGTGACACTGCAGTAAAACCAAATGCAATAGCTAATTGAGTAACACATCATGATGATAATGCCATAATAATTTCCATCATAATGGACAGGCTGCTTAGTTGCACCGAAAGCAACATTTTTTGGAAACATATAATTATCTAAAAACAATTTGGAGATATGGGGGCAAAATGAAAAAAGTCTACCTTGCAATGTGGAACATAATAAGCTTGCCCTCTAAAGTAAGGCATATAAGAACACAATATGGTGAAAGTTCCTTGACTTCTTCAACTCCAAGTTGGACTTTCATGCTCCCAAAGAGAGAAACTTTATCAATGCAAAGACCCATGATCAAATTATCATCCCCGTTATCTAAGCACATACCATTTAACAAAGTTGCATTAGATTAGGGCAATAAAGTTACATTGAAGCATCCAACAAATTGCTGGAAACAATTAAAAGCAATGGCAAACAAATTGAAAGCATCAGTAAGCGCAAAGCATAAGGTGACACTATATTGTTGAAAATGGGCTAGTAAGTTTCTCCCTACAACAACATAGGTCTGAAAATTCAAGTATTAAACAAGTCAGCATAAATATAAATTGATATCAAATGTAAGTTTCAGGAAAAAAAAAGTACAAAATATGCTATAAAATCACTTATAAAGACAAGACTTCTTAACAAGATTTGAAGCAGCACTATCCAAGTTCTAGACTAGGCTCTGAGTCCATACAGCTCCTTCACGTAAGATGTCCCTTCAATCCATATTCTAAAGGGCAAGCTCAAAATGCTTTACCAATTGAATATTCGAATTCGTTATGCAAAGAAGATTACAAAAAACAAAAAATCACTTGAGCTATTTCTACCAAGTCTAAAAGACAGGTTAAAAAACCTTGAAGCTCAATCCTTGGAAGCCAATTATCACGTTCAATATCAACAACTGAAGCTTCACTCATCTCACCAAGTGACCAACTGAGCAACACAATATGCTGATCTGTATTCTTTCTGTTAGCAGCAATTGCAAGCTCACTGTAATTAATACACAGAGAAAAAATTACCCCACAATCAACATATGAATAATTCCTGGAGAGCTTGAACAAAAAAGAAAAGGAAAAAGATAGAAATACAAAAATACTTAAAATGAAGAAACATGAATTTGTGAGTTAATTGATCTTCAAACTATAGAATCTATAAGAAAAAAAAAGGAAGAAAAGGAATGATAGTCTAATCCATGTTTTAATTAATTGATTAGAGATGCATTTAGAAACTTCAAACAACTCCCTTTTTTGAACTTTATGTACAAGTTTAAATCATTTAAAACAGTCACAATTAAAAGAGAGAGAGAGAGAGAGAAGAAAAGTTTTTTTTTTTAATTTACAGTTTTTCTTAAGTGAATTATTGTGACTAAATAAGTCAGAGTTCGCTCTTGCAATTATAGAGATGAGATGAACTTTATCTATATCTATATCTATAATTATATATATAAGCATGGATGTGTGTTAACTTTTTAATTTACAAAAAAGTGCATTTTTGTTCATTTTATTTTTAAATTGCCATTTTAAAAAAATTATTGATCACAATTTTCAATTATAATGATAAATTAATAGCAATAAGATTTATTTATTCATGAATAAGAACTCTAATTGCATTGAATCACTTTCATTAGAAAATGTTTTACTTGACTTGTAATTCTTCAGTCATTATATTTCTAATTGTAGCCATGTTATACATTTGTATTTATATATAATTATATATTATTTTAAAATAAAATATAAAAATACAAGTATTCACATACAATGCACATGACAACAAATACTAGTTAATTCAAAATGACAAACACGCAAGGAGGAAGAAAATCCAAGAGTGTGAAACTACATAAAATTACCATTCTTCCAAATAGCTCAAGAATAAGTAAGGTCCGGTTTTGAAGGGCACAATGTCATCAATCAGACCCACAAACAAATCACTGAAGGATAGCACAACCAAGTCAGAAGTAGCCTGCAATAAATATTCCTAAAAGTTTAAGTTATAACAACAATTACATTAGAAAGAAAGAATGGATTGATATGGTATTTTGTAACCTCAACAGTTCATCAAAACCCAGGGAAAGCAATAAGTTGGTTGCTGAACAACATAAAGACATTTTTTTATTATTTTTGAGAAGGGAAGATTTGAACTCTGCTCTTTGACCAGGGGATCATGCAACAACCAACTCAGCCAAATGCTAGGGCTCTAAAAACAAATTTTTTGAATATAATGGTATAAGCCCCTATTAATTAATTGAAAATTTAAGTCAAGAAATAAGCATTGCCCAAAATAATTAGCATTCATAAAGATCATGATTACCAATATAGGTAAGAATCCCTCCAGAACCTCTCCTTCAATGGGTAGAAAACTAAAGTCCCTCTTCTTTTGTATCAGGTGCAATAAAGCAAATGCATATGCACAAGTTCATGGAGGGAAATTAAAGAAATACCTTTCCTGGGCACTTATTCATGCAAACTCTAACTTCTAAAATCAGTAGAAAAGCAAAATGCTAATAATGTTGATAATCACAAATATAAGAGCCTGTTAGAGTATTCTCACATCCTCTATTTATAAGAAGATAAAACTTCAAAAGCGGAATAAGATGCAATGATAACACTATGACAATGGGGCAAAGTGAGGCAGACTTTCCCACCCCCACTCCCAAACACCAGCCAATTCTATTTCTTCTTAACCTGAACCCACCACACCATAACACTAGGATATAATTTTTAGTACCTGATTGCACCCAAGAAAAATATGTATATAACCTCCACCCAACCCATCCCAAATTTTATTTTCTTATCACATTATAATTTAGTCTATTTTTTATGAGAACTTTTTAATGTAAATTACATATTTATACCTTTAAATTATTATATTATAAGTTTTATACCTTTAAATTATTATATTATTAAGTTAATATCCCCAATTAGTATTAAAGGATAAATTTATTGATATCACATACATACATTTATAAATATCAAACTAAATAAAACATAAGCAAATACCACTGGGTGGGGGCAGGAAGCACTCTAAATCCAACTCAACTCAATTCAACCCAGACTTTTTTAATTATCAAATATAAACTGATCCGACCACCGCTTTTCAAACAAAAAAATCGGTAGAACCATCAGGTATAAGTTATTTTTTTCCATCCCCAAATAAGACACCATATAACTTTAACCCTATCAGTATCATTTTAAACAAAAACAATTGAAAAACAGCTAAGATATGTATTTTCTAACATGTTGCCCATGAATTAGGATTAGGATATGAGCATTACTCACAAAATGTAGGACACATTCATGAAATTAGCCTGAGAGACTTAGAATTAGGGGATTTACAATTTTGTATTAAAATGGAGAACAGTTTTAAATATTAAATATGAAGAGGAAATGATCCAGGTTGTGGCATGTTAAAGAGGATGGCAGCAAGCAAAATGGTGCATAATAATTTGGAAGATGCTAGTCCATGGCTTTGTGAAATTTGGATCTTGGTTCAATAGTAAACCACTCCTAGTGAATGAAGGGGCAAGAATAGATCAGTGCAAATTCAAAGAAGACAAAGAAGAACTAGAAAAGAATACTGCCAGAGTGATAACCCCAAAAGCTGGTGCCAAAGCGGCCTATATAATTACCTATTCAACTAGACTGCCAAATAAAATGCAGAAGTCACTGTTCACAATAAGTAACAGTGGAGTCCAAATGAACCTCTTCCAAAGGTAACAATCATATTTGTTGCAACAAGCAGTAAGATTGACAAGCTAACCACAAAAAATTCCCAATAAACTCATCTGGCTACTGTTAAAGAATTAATACTAACATCAGTGATTTTTCCAGTCTTGCTTTTGACTACTTGGACAAGGTAATTTTCCTCTTTAGCATCTGGAGTCAACTGAAAGCATCCAAGAACAATGCAATCAGGACGAACCCATCTGATAGCATCCACTGGCAAAATTATTCAAATAAAAACTGTTCAGTTTCAGAGTTTAGGAATGCAGAAGATTTTAAATTAAACCAAAAGAAATGAAGGAATAGCCGTAAACAGATTAGGAATAGGGTTTTATGCACGCTCATTAATAACCAGGATTGTTCAAACAACAAAATATTTGTATACGTGTTCATGTAAGGATGTAGATATCAAATACATTTTAATTATGATGTAAGACAAAATTTCTAGCCAATATTGAGCTATAGCAGGCAGAACTAGAACCACTAAGTAATCACTGAACCTGGCATCATAGTGATACCTCAATTACAATCTTTTAATGAGACAAAATGCATTTTAAGCTCCCAACTTTTTAACAAATGCCATTAAACATTTCAAAACACTTGTACAGTCATGGTAACATACCAAATGCAAATTCATGCCACCGCTTTGAGCAGGAAAATAAAAGCACAACACTGCAAGTTATAGATACCAAATATGGACTCTACAAAGACTTGTCCTAGATTTTATAAATGGCATATTTATTTCAGTTCACTTTTCATGAAAGGAAAATGAAAATCTTACATTTTGACAAAGTAAGACAAGAATGTAACCTCTAATATGATCATAAACATGAATGTAATTACAAACAGGAATAAAGTAGTCCATAGCTAATATATAAGAAAGTTCAAAAAGCAAATACAAGAACATAAAAATCTAAAGTAAATTTGAAGATAAAAAGAAACCCTTTGAATGCAAAATACCTTTTACAAAGCATTCATCATCAGAATCACCGATCAAAGACTTGAATGACAGTGCTACGCACAATTTCTCATTGAATTTGGAAGACAGAATACTAAGACTAGTATCTTTTGCCACAGCAACGAAAGCACCTTTTACACTCCATTCAACTAAGATGACAAAAAAAACATTAGATCTTAGAACACAAAAATTTTTCAATGGAGGGGAAGAGGAAGTCAGAATGGGAGTACATGGAATAGCAATCTTTCATAAGATAGCGTTTGAACAATGCTAAGGCATAACAAACCAAGTGCAACTACCTCACAACATAGAAAGGTCAAGAAAAGGAAGGCAATTGTAACCAAATTAGAGAAGTATACAAGGACCTTCTGAGTTTATTAAAGAAGGCAAAAACCAATAACAGCTGCATCATTTAGGCTATATGCAGTACAAAAGAATTGAATTATGGTTAATCACAATTATTGATTGAAAGGTAGATGTTGTGAGATACCAGCATCAATGCCGTCCATCAAATGTTTAAGAGGGTTAGTAAGAGTTCCATGATAAAGCTTCCTATCATCTGAAAGAACAAGGAAAGAGTTATCCTTCTTCTTTCTCCATCGAATATCCTTGACAAAGCTTGAATGAGGGAGCGAAGTGGAGAAATATGGACTTATCTCCTACGCACAGGCAGAGTCACGCATGAACAGGATATCATATGGAAACAAAATCTTAAAATATAATGAGAGAGAGAGAGAGAGAGAAACTGTACCTTCTTAAGAAGGGAGTCGACACTGAAGAAATGAATATCAGCCGCAACAGCGACCGCAAGCGTGGAATCGTCTTTGGTGGAAAGAGCCAGAATATGAACCTTGCCGATAATGGGAACACCCAACACACTCAGATCCTCAATACTTGAACAAGTACCATTTTCCTTAATGTCCTTTGCCAAATCAATCACATCCTTGGTTCTCGCCACCAAAAACCCTATAAAATTTTATATAATTTTATATTATCCATTGATTAATTAATTTTGTGTTACATGGACATGAATACATAAAGAGAGAGAGAGAGAGAGAGAGAGAGAGAGAGAGAGAGAGGGGTTAAACACCAGAAGAATAAGCGAGAAATAGTAGCTGGAACCGTTGGGAGAGGGCGAGGGCCTGAGAAGGAGGGGCTTGGAGGTCGAATTGGGAATCCTCTTGAGATCTGATAGGCACGGGTTCGCCGATTCTCTCGAAGAAGAAATCCCTGGTTTCCATATGCTCCCCTTCCTTCTCTTCTTCAATTTTAACTGCACCGCCCATTTTCAGTTTTCAATTTTCAACTTCTAAACGTCAATCAAAATGATTATCCAAATCAATTGATTTCAATTGCCTACTTCTACAAGTGTCTTGGGGTTTAGGCTGGAACACTCAACTAAACCCTAACCCCTGCGGTGCCCTGCTATTAGTATTGGCACATCCGATAATTATCTCTATGTAAGATCTACGACAAACTAACTGCCCTACTCTACGATCAATGCAATTATGCGCGAAGAATTTTCTTTGGCCAATCCGGCTTTACCTTAGTGGTACATATCACCTGTGATAGCTGTACTAAAATAAATATTTTTTTTTTTTTATATCATGAGAACAAAATTATAATACAAATAAAAAAGAAAATGAGATTTAACTCGAAATCAAATTTCTGATATCCTTCAAATAATTTTAATCATTAAATCAAAAGTTTGGGAACAATAAATCTTAGAATTATGCAAAATTCATGCATGAAGATAACGAATATAAACGGTAGAGTTTATAAAAATTTTAATTGTAATTAGATAATTATAATATTATAATAAAAATATTATAAGTGAAATATTTTTTATTTAGAAGCAAGGAATAAATCTTAAAATCTTAAAATATTATGTTCAAGCTCTATTATGTGTGGATTTAATTTATCTAATTATGTTATAATTTATTAATTTTACCAATTATTTTATAATTATAACTTAATTATGATATAATAATTAATTATTTAATTGATTATATAGATTTAATATTTGATTATATTTTCAATAATTTCAAAAAAAAAGAATTTTTTTATATTATGATGGATATATTTTTTTTATATAATGTGTAAAAACACATTACGTCTTGACTAATCTTTAACCAGTTAGCATGGTGTTTACACTTAAAAATAAATACATGAATTAATCTTATTTTATTATTTTTATTTCCTTCCTTTCAATAGGAAAACAATGATTAATGAATAACGTATGCATATTGACTAATATTTTTAATTATTTCAAATTATAACTATGCAAAAATTATTTATTGTTTTTTAATTAATCAAATAATTTTTTTTCACTTATCTAAGAATTTAAATTTTTTCTTAATTTATTGAAGCAATCTTGCAAATTAATTTTATCTTATATATTTATAATTATTTAGAAAAAGTCCACTTTGTGAAAATAGTTTTGAAATTCCCAATTGTTTTTGCTAAATGCCAATATTTATTTTTACTTATGAAAGTCTAGAAAAAAATGCCAATAACAAATTTTTGAAATTTGTCATTTGCATAGATTCCTTAAATAATTATTTTTATTATTTAATTTATTCAATTAATTATTTCATTTATTAATCAATTAGGTTTTGACATAAATTTATCGACATAAAAAAAACAAGTAAATCTAAGCTTTGGTCTAGAGGACATTTTGTTTTGTCTTTCTTTTTTTTTTTCTCTCTTTTAACAAATTGGCATAGTTTAGTTTAAGAATAAAAAACAACTTAAACTTAAAGTATCAAAACTTGTTTCATTATTTTGCATTTTTCTCTTCTTTCTCTAGCTTTAGTAACCCTCTCTTCCTCTCTCTTTAAAATTTAGTATCTATTATTACTTTCTATAAGTTGTTATCTTTGTTCGCTATTCATCAAGAACTCTATACCTAAAGGATACAATTTTTTTCTCCCTAAACACTTTAAGCGATTTAGTTTTTCAAGAATCACACTAATCTCTTCTCTTTTCTTGTTTTATATTTTTTGAAAACTTTAATTTAGCAATCTCTAGCCTTTTTTTTTTGCCTCCACTTCATTTTCTTATTCCTTTTCTTACCCTATCCACTTTTATTGGTTTCATTTCCACTTTCGTCATTCACCACCATCGACTTACCTTTAATAAAAAAAAACCTTTAAAAACCCTCTCTTTCTTTACTCTCTCTCTATTTTGTCTCTTTACTTATCAAAATTCTAAAATAAATAAAACCGAAAGATAAACTATAAAAACTCTAAAATTTTTCTATTATGTTTTCATATTTTTCTTTGTTGGTGTATTTTGATTTTTTTTTTTGTTAGCTATTGGATTCATGAATAACCTTTTTTTGGTTTTAAATCTTTTTGGGATTGTGATTTTTTATTTTTTCTAATATTTAATTTTTACCATTTTTTAATTTTTTATAACATTGTTTTGTTGATTTTGTACTTTTACCTTATTTTCTAATTTTTTTCATAATATTTGCAACTATTGACTTTTTAGATGAACAAAAATAACCTTTCAATCTTAAACACAAAAACGCACTTAGTTATAGGGCATTTTTCTCATTTTAATCGAGGTCTAAAATTAATGGGAGCATTTCACATGTAATTATTTTCATTATAATACTATAATTAACTAATCACAATAAAAAATTATGTAAGTATTCATCATTTAAAAGTGTGAATTCTATACAATTTTTTGATGGACCCTACATGATATTGAATTATAATTAGTTAATTGTACTACAATACTTGTAGGTAATATACTCTTAAAATTAATATACTTTAGATAATGACAAATGATCCACATACAATGACTTAATACTAAATTAGTTTTACAGTGTTTCATAATTTTTTTATAGGATTTATATTTGTTTAATTTTATTGTTATATTTCATATTTTATTCATGTAGATCATGCTTGTCTAATTTTAAATGAATTAAAAATGTCTAAGTATTTATTTGATATAAAAAATTTTAATTATTAAATATATAATGAAAATGATAATATTTTTTATTGATATGATAGAGATATCTGATTAATTTGAAATTTTCTTGTACAACTAGTGCGATTAAGGGTGATGATGGTTCAGTTCGATTTTAGTTTGATTTTTTTGGATACTACGTAAAATTAATAATTTTTAAGATTCAATATGAATCCAAACTGACCCTTCCTTGAAACCGATCCAATTTGAACCAAATTCTACCAGTTCAGTTCATCTGTTTTTTAATTTTAATTTATATATATATTATTTTAATATGATTTTTAATATATTTAAATAGATTTAGATATAAAATAATTATTTTGTTTTATAAAAATTTAAAATGTATATAAAGCTAATAAAATATATAATTCAATTTGATTTGATTTTTTTCAATTTTTTTACTTCTCGATTAGAAATCTGATATAAACCCGATATATGCATTTAGTATCTACATTTAATTTAAATTGAATAAGAAAAAAACGATCCAAACTCTTTATTACGATTTTGATTCGATTTTTATTTTTTTGATTTTTTCACACCCCTAGGATGATTATAGTGTTAAATCTAAATGTCGATTTGTTAAAATATTTGTGCTGTTATTCATGAAGATCATACACGTTAAATTTTACATATATTAAAAATGTTTAATTATTTTTTTGATATAAAAATTTTCAATCTTTAAATATATATTGAAAAAGATAGTATTCTCGATAGATAAAATAGAGATACCAAATTAATTTGAAACTTTAAATTCACAATGGATACAATTATGTTGTTAAATGCAATGATCAATTTGTTAAAAATATTACATGTTCTATTCATATAGATTAAGAAATGTCAAATTTCACATGAATTAAAAATATCTAACTATTTTATTTTGTATAAAAAATTTTAACTATTAAATATATAATGAAAAAGATTATTTTTGATCGATACGATAAAGATGTCAAATAGATTTGAAACTTTACATGCATAGTGAGTACAATTATATTGTTAAATCTAACGGACAACTTGTTAAAAAACTAATCATACATTAAAGTTATAAAAGAGTGTAAAACTAATCAATTTTATTTCGATGTAACATGATTTCTTCCCATTTATAATATATGATATATATATATATATATATATACAGATGTGTAAAATATTTTGAATTGATGAAAATAGATATTAATGTTCATTATATTTCTAAATTATCATTTGTTAGTTTAAATAATTTTGAATTTAATTTTTATAAAAATAATATTATATAAATTAATAGTTCAAGTCGATGTTGACTTTAGTTAGCTAGTTTCTAATCCGATCAATATATCAATACTAATAATAAGAGTTTAAAACAAAGTTATAGTGCTAGTTTTTGTTAAAAATTTAATCATGATTGTAGATATCCTATTTTGTTTGAGACTTTTTGTTAATCCTAAGAATTGTTTTTAGATTTCTAGTTCTTTATTAAAATTTTGGTTTTAACTTGGGTTTTAAGATTAGCCCATTTAGCTGTGGATCTACCATTTAAACTTAGGGCTTCAATTGGATTTAGAATCTCAAATCAAACCCATTTTACTCTTTTATTATTGCTTTATTTTTCATTTTTTCTTCTTTAATGTTATTTTCAAAAAAATGAAAAAAATTTGAAAAAACATAAAACAAAATGAAAACTCAAATAAAGCAAAAAGAAAATTTTAATATGAATTTCATTTGGATAAAACAACTTTTCTTAGAGATAAAATTTTCTAAAGATAATATAATAAATTTTGATTGGAGTTGTTTCTTATTTAAACTTCTCTTTGCATTAAGATCAACGTGCTTCTAAAGTCAACAATAATCTCAAAAAAGAATGGGAGAAACATATATCAATTCCAACAATAAGAAACTCAAGAAAATAGTGGTTTCAAATCTTGTTTAGTGTCTACCAGGAACCTGAAATTCATACACAATTCGGTAGCCTTTCTTTATATTAGCAATCAACCTAGAGAACTAGGCATAAACATCTTAACTTCCTAAACCCATCATAAAAACTTCCACACATATAATTCAATAAGCGCTAGATCCATATTCACAACAGCAATTAATCAAAAACATGATACACACAAGGGAATAAGTCACCATAGATCTTCACCATTATATACACCCTACACCGTCATCTCTAAGCTTCTACAAACCTACCCAAGATAAATTGTACTACAGTCCCTTCATCAGTCACCCACATCACCATTAGCTAAGACACCATCCTCGTTATAAGAGTTACTTTAATTTTCAACTACCATTTGCACCAAAAAAAAAAAAGAAAAAGTAGCCAAAAGTCATAACGAAAATTAAAAAAAAAAGCTAGGTTTCAATTAGGTTTGGCAAGTTTTTTTTCTTATTTAACGTGGGTACATTTCAATATAGAAAAAAGGGAAAAAGGAAATAAGGAAAAAAGAATGTCGACAATGATGACAACAATCTAAGCTTTTAGAAATTCAAGCATTGAAAAGGAAAAGAAAGATGAAAATAACAATATACTAAAAACTCATAAAGATCAAATGATAAAAAAATGGTGAAACAATTGTCAAAAATTTATAGCTCCAAGTTCAAATCTAGATAATTGAAGGAATTTTTAGAAAAGCTAAGGTGAGAATAGGAAAAATGAGGAAAATAGGGCTATTTCTAAAACTTTTAGGGTATTTTCGATTACCAATATAAACCAATAAACAGTAATAGAAAGTGAAATTGGTGGTGAAATAGTGCCAAATCTGGAAA